TGTATCTCAGGTCGTGGTCAAAATAAGTTTGAAAGCCATTGTCCTCCGCTATATTCTCCTAAAGCTCTTGTTAAGTGGAACAGACTTTCTAGTGGGATGATTCAGATAATAAATGAGTGAAAAAACAAACGAGATTATTTTAGCTATTCAAATGCGTTCTGATGAACCCAACATGGTAATAAGATTGATGGGGAGAGTGTTCTAGGGGGTGCGGGGCACAACACTAGCTCACACGAGGTGGTCAGAAGAGGCCTCTCAGCCCTGGACCTGAGTTCTTAATGAAGTGAAGGAGCTGAATGTGCAAAGATCAGTTAAAAAGAAAGCTCTGAGTGGATAGAATACAATGCAAAAGCCCTAAAGTAGAGTGAGAATGATACAAGACAAGATTTGGTTAGGTGGGAGTCAGGGTACAAACAGTTGCCTGGAATTGCTTGAGACAATAATAGTCACCTTACGGAGACCTGGGTGTTTTCATATATGTGCGTGAGGTGAACATTCCAAGAAGACTTCCACATATTTATATTAACCAACATGTATGTGGTGGTATGATTCACCAGGTTAGGGAATACACAAAGAGCAGCAGTGAAGAATAGGGTGTGTGTGTGTGTGTGTTTTGAAGGTAGGGTGAGTTTAATGTATACACATCACCATGTCTGAGGGACATTCAAGGGAAAATGGCCAATAGGCAGAAGATACTCAGATCCAAACTCAGAATTCAGATCTGAAGTGGAGATGTAGCTGAATGCAGAGGAGTGGAGAAACTCATCTTGAGGATCAGGTAAAGAGAGAAGAAAAGAACTGAGTCCTACTGTATGTTATTTTTACAGAGATGGGGAAATGCATGTAGCTGAAATATTTCTAGCAATGGTTTGTTCAATAAAGGGTTGTACCCAGTGACATTTTTAATGTATTTTTTGCTTAGCAAAAACGATTCTTCTTCAGGAAAAAAAGATACATATGATATTTGTTCTGATAGTGTTGTTATAATTTTGAGAGATTTTGAAGACTATTACTCCTTTATATAATAGATTTCATAAGTAAAGATTTTTCATCTGAATCATACATCACCTGATGGTAAAAATGCAATGGTAAAAAGTTAATAGTAATAACCATAAAAAATACAGTCGTTTGTGACTCTAAACAAATGTGAATCTTAACAGTTTGAACATTAATTATATATCCAACAATATTTATTGTTGGTAGGAAAGTTGCATATATTGCTTACAAATAAATACATAGACTTACGTGTACAAATTAAATGTATATTAACCACCAAAAAAAAAAAAAGATGATTAATTGGTCTAATGCTAATATATATTCATTGGTTTAAAAAATAGCAGATAAATTTCCATTTTATTAAATTACCTTTCCAAGAGGAACACTATTAAAGAAGGCCACATTTTCTACTTGCTAGCCTAAAATTCCTTTTAATACAGTAAAACCTGTGAAAGCCAGAACTTGCATAAAGTGGAAACCTGTTAGAGAAGGAAAACTCAAATATTTTCCTCTAGCACACAGTGATGGAAAAGCGGTACAACTGCGCCCTGTCAAAGGCGGAAAACTTGAGAGACCGGGAAAAACAACGCAGTCGGGTAGAGGTCCGGCTCTCACAGGTTTTACTGTGATTGATCACTGCTGACCCCGCTACAAACTTTTTTACCCGTAAATTGTGTCCCTATAAAAACCCTGGTGACTCAGTGGTTAAGTGATACTTTTTGGTTGGCAGTTTGAATCCACCAGCCACTCCTTGGAAACTCTATGGGGCAGTTCTACTCTGTCCTATAGGGTCACTATGAGTCAGAATCAACTTGAAGGCAACGGGTTATAAGAGACTCGCAAGGTCTCATATAGGTTCCCCTTTCTTTTTAAAAACGTTAGGCTTATTTTAAAGTTTCCCTTAGGAAGCAAAAAAGAAAAAAAGTACCCAGATTAGTTATTTATTTTCGTCCCTCTCCATATTTCAGGTCGTCATTAACTTGGCTAACATTAAATATGTGGGGTCTGTCCATGTTACACAATACAAACTTGGTTAATCCTTTCTGAAAATTGTCTTACTTTGCCCATATTATGGGGAGAGAAATCTGCTCTAGCGCATTCCTATACAGGCCAGTGATCCGTGCTTTACCTCCCCCAGTCTCTGGGATGTGTTTATGGAGAGACTTGTCAAGTAACACCTCTAACCTGTCATCCTCTTCCTCTGTGCTCTCACCCACACTAACAAACAACTCCCTTACTCCAGCTTTATCTTCTGAAACAAATGACCCATCTTTCTTCGAACAGAAATTGTTTATTGGAAACAGTAAATTTTAACCTCTATTTCCTCTAAGAAGATCATGGCTGTATGAAAATAAAATCCGTTATTTTTCAGTCCTATTATACTGAAATAAGACGCATTATGAAGTTAAGCGTGGTTTTTGCTATGGAGTGAAGAGGGCAAAGAAATACTGATTTTGCCAAAGATTTTCAAATCCATGTTCTTTCAGAGTCTAAATTGCTAGGTGCCCTCACACTTTGCAGGAAAATAATACAGCTGAGCCAAAATATGTCAAGCCTTCTATCTAGGGTGTGGATTTGTCATGTGTTGGGAGGAGAGGGGTGTAGATTAACCGTTCACTCCCCCCCCACCCCGACCCCTGTGGTGTTCCCAATAGCTGGGAGATGGGTGAGGTGAGAGAAAAACAAGATACCGCGGTTGCCTCCAGCAAGTGAAGATGAATTTTCACACACTGCCCTGGGTTTTACACATCTGGTTACTTTAGGTCATCCAATATAAATTATTGTAAATTCTTTTGGTTCGGATGGCCCTAAAATGTAAATTTCCAGCATTTTCAAGATTTAAATTGGCCTGAGTATTACAAAGATTTGATGCAGTGTTTTTCTTAAGGATGAATATGGAGGGAGGGTATAGGGATAGTGGCGATGTTTTTTTTTTTTTTTTCAAATAATGATCTGTGAAAACATGGTATCACTTTGTGTTATTAAAGTCCTCTGAAAAATTAAATACTGAAGTAAGACAGTGTTATTTCTAGGGAGAACACCTGAAAAGAAACGGGTGTGGACAACGTACGTAGTTCTAAGCAGCTGACTTCTCTTGCGAGCTGACTCTCCGGCAGTATCTTAGGAACTATTCAAAGTTGCCAGCTCCCCAACGCTGGAACGTGTGGAGCAGACAGAGATGACGAAAGACAATAAATAGGAAACTGTGGTTTTCTTTTCATTGCCCCCAGAATATCCATGGATGGATAGCAGAGACTAAAGAAAAACGGGCTTCGAAGCTAACAGCAAGATTGACGTGTTACGAGACTGTTTTACAAAATCTAGTCCGTTGACTGTGTTGATTTTATTACAGCAGCTCATCCCACCTTTCTACATATAAAGGAAATATTTTGACTCGGTACTTGGAATACACCTTGCTTTCTCTTGGGTTTATGTTGTTCAGCTAAAACAGCGAGTTACCCAAAAAACGTGCTACGTAGCAGTTGTTAGATTTCAGGATTAGACTGCTCTGGGAAGGAGGTTATGGCAGAGAAAGGGGGAGGGATAGAAAGAAAAGGAGGAGTAAAGGACTAAGAGAAAGGGGGTAGGGAATGGGGAAGAGAGGGCGAGGGAGAGAAGAGAGAGCTGCAGAAAGAGCGAGCGACTCTTCACAAGTGACCAGTTGGGAGGGGAGGAGGAGGCTTGTGCCAAAGCTCGCTGGACTCAGCACTCAAAAACCAGGGTTTGGTTTAGAAAGAGCTACGGGAGCTGGTCAAATTCAATGGGACGACCCAGCAAAAAAAGCAAAATCCCAAAGACGGCTACTCCAACCTCTGCCTTGGGGGCGGGGCGGGACGGGGCGGGGCCGGGCGGGCCCCGAGAGCTCCGGCGCGACGCAACCCGCAAAATCGAATAGCCAAACAAGACAGAGGATGAAAAAACATGAGGAAAAGGACAAAACAGATGAATGCAAACGGGGGAGGGAAAATACAACCTCTTGGGCTTTAAATTGATTTCCTTGCCTTAGAGAAAGGGAGAAAGGGGAAAGGAAAAAAAAAAAGCCCACGTGCCTTCAAGAAAGGTTGTTGTGTTAAAGCGCCACCTTCAGTTGCTGGAAGCGCAGAAGGCGGACGACGGCTCTAGAAATGCAGGCTGCCGGGCACGGCGACTGGAGGAGTAACTGAAACCACTCGGTGTGCCAGGCGGGCGCAGCGAAATCCTCCTGCTAGATTGCACACGCCGTCTCGGGCTGTGCGTGTGCCTGAGGGTGTGCATACGAGAAAGGGAGAGCGCGCGGCCGTTTGCGCGCACACTCACATTCCCCCTGGGGACGGGGCACAAAGGGCGATCCTAGCCCTTTCCTGGGGACCTCGTTTTCGCGTCGCGCTAGTGTCCAGACTCGGCCGATTCACGCCAGGCCTGCCTGCTCACCACGGTGCCGTTAGTGGCTACCGCGCATCCCGGGGAGACGGCGCATATGTGCACACACGCGAATTTTTTAAAAATAACATTTCTAGACATGCCTCCTCCTCTGCACCCCCCCCCATCTTTCTGAAGAAGCCCCGAGGGCGGGGTGAAGGGGGTGGGGCTTCAGAGTTAATAAAGGGAGATGGGCGGAGCCGGCTCCCAGCTATTGGCTAGCTAGGGGAGTGATGTCACCCATATGACACCCTGATAACTAGTTGGGAGAGAGCCCTCAACTTTTTGCAGAAGGAGCGCGCGCCCTGGGAGTGCTCGGGTTCCGGCGCTTGCGGCGGGAGCGCTCTAGTCGGAGAGAGGGGTCCTGGGCTGGTTCGACTGCCACCGCGCCGCCACCGCCGCCGCCGCCGCCGCAGCCACTCCTGTCGCCGCCGCAGCCACCCTGAGCGCGGCCGGCCGTCGTCGCCGAAGCAGCCACAGCCGCTGTGTGCAGCCTGGAAGGGGGGGCGGGGGGGAGGGGGGGAGCAGCCGACGCGGGGTGCCGAGGACTTTGCAACTTGCCCGGGAAGGTGGAGGGGTGGAAGGGGGAGGGGGATCTCCGCTCGAGACCAAGTTGCTCTGATTGGAACGTAAAGCACCTCAGCGGATCATGGTGCAGCAGGCGGAAAGCTTGGAGACTGAGAGCAACCTGCCCCGAGAGGCGATGGACACGGAGGAGGGCGAATTCATGGCTTGTAGCCCGGTAGCCCTGGACGAGAGCGACCCGGACTGGTGCAAAACGGCGTCCGGCCACATCAAGCGGCCGATGAACGCGTTCATGGTGTGGTCTAAGATCGAGCGGCGAAAGATCATGGAGCAGTCGCCCGACATGCACAACGCGGAGATCTCCAAGAGGCTGGGCAAGCGGTGGAAAATGCTGAAAGACAGCGAGAAGATCCCGTTCATCCGGGAGGCGGAGCGGCTGCGACTCAAGCACATGGCCGACTACCCCGACTACAAGTACCGGCCCAGGAAAAAGCCCAAAATGGACCCCTCGGCGAAGCCCAACGCCAGCCAAAGCCCGGAGAAAAGTGCTGCAGGCGGCGGGGGCGGCGCCGGCGGAGGCGCGGGCAGCGGCAAGAACTCCAAGGGTTCGAGCAAGAAATGTAGCAAACTGAAGACCCCCGCGGCCACCACGGCTACCGCGGCCGCCTGCCCCAAGGCGGGCGCCGGCAAAGCGGCTCACCACGGGGAATACGGCGGCGACGACTATGTGTTCGGCAGCCTTAAAGTGAGCGGCGCGGGGGGCGGCGGCGCCAGCAAGACCGTCAAATGCGTCTTCATGGATGAGGACGATGAGGACGACGAGGACGAAGATGAGCTGCAGCTGCGGATCAAGCAGGAGGTGGAGGACGAGGACGAGGAGCACCCGCACCAGCAGCTCCTACAGCCGCCGGGGCAGCAGCAGCAGCAGCAGCAGCAGCTGCTGAGACGCTACAACGTCGCCAAAGTGCCCGCCAGCCCCACTCTGAGCAGCTCGGCCGAGTCCACCGAGGGCGCGAGCCTCTACGACGAGGTACGGGCCGGCGCCACCTCGGGCGCCGGGGGCCACGGTGGGGGCGGCAGCGCCAGCCGCCTCTACTACAGCTTCAAGAACATCACCAAGCAGAACACGCAGCCGCTCGCGCAGCCTGGGCTCTCGCCCGCGTCCTCGCGCTCGGTCTCCACCTCCTCTTCCTCTTCCAGCAGCAGCAGCAGCAGCAGCAGCAGCAGCAGCAGCAGCAGCAGTAGCAGCAGCAGCAGCAGCGGCGGCGAGGACGCCGACGACCTGATGTTCGACCTGAGCTTGAATTTCTCCCAAAACCCGCACACCACCAGCGAGCAGCAGCTGGGGGGCGGCTCTGCAGCGGGAAATCTGTCTCTTTCGCTGGTGGATAAGGATTTGGATTCCTTCAGCGAGGGCAGCCTGGGCTCCCACTTCGAGTTCCCCGACTACTGCACGCCCGAGCTGAGCGAGATGATCGCGGGGGACTGGCTGGAGGCGAACTTTTCCGACCTGGTGTTCACGTATTGAAAGGGACGCCCCGCTTCTCTCGCTCATTTCTCTCGGCGAGTGCAGAGCAGGGTTCCTTGGGAGGAAATCATGGTGATGATAATGTTGATGGTGGTGGTGGTAGGGTGGAGGGAAGAGAAGAAGATGCTGATGATATTGATATGATGTCGTGACGCAAAGAAATTGGAAAAGATGATGAAAATTTTGGTGAAGTTAAAGTGAAATTAGTAGTTTTTAAATATTTTTTCCTGTCCTTTTTTTTTGCCCCCCCCTTCCTTTATCGTGTCTCAAGGTAGTTGCATACCTAGTCTGGAGTTGTGATCCCCCCCAAATGTGTTTTGTAATTAATATTTCTTTTCCTGAAATTCATATTGCAACAAAGGCGTAGGGGACGGGGCGGGGGAGGGGAGGGAGGAACCGCTCCGGAAGGCGCTGTTTGAAGCTTGTCGGTCTTTGATTGAAGTCTGGAAGACGTCTGCAGAGGAGCCTTTTGGCAGCACAACTGCTACTCTAGGGAGTTCGTGGATTTTTTTTTTTTTTTCCTTAAGAGATCTTAAAGAACTGGTGATTTTTTTTTTTTAAACAAACAAAAACAAAAAAGGGACCATTGCAACTTTTTTATTTTATTTTATTTTTTTGGAGGGAGAAAACTGATGTCTTCTATGCATCCGATTCTTAACAAAACTGCAGGGAGCTTGAAAAAATGCAGACTGTACAAACGCTTACAAAAAACTGTGAACTGACTTAAGATCAGAGTTTACTTTTCAGATCAAATTGTTTATGGTTTTACAAATGTGATTTCTACTTGCCAACTTTTTTTTTTTGTAACTTGTTCCCTTATACCTCCTTGATTGAATACCAGACAGCCTAGACCTCAGTACAAAAGGTATTGAAACATTTTTGATACATAACAGACCTCAGTCTTTTTTAAAAATTAATATATTTTCAGGCGTATTTTTGTACAGTGAAAAGGGAACATTCTTGCTGTGTTTTTTCAGTAAGACTTTCAGGCACTTCTTCCCTTTTGATTTCTTTTTTTTCCTCCGTTTTTTAGCATGCAAGTATGTTGGTACGTTATGTCCTGGTTTAAAAAGGATTAAAATTTTAAAATAATCCTTGCATCTAAAGGCCTTGTGGTTTAAAAAAAAAAAAAGCAAACTTTTTTTTGTACAGCTATAGTAGAGATTTGTTCAATATTTGTAGGTAAAGATTTATTGAAAATGGTGATATAGACCTCAGAGCTGTTATCTTAGTTTAAAGATTGTATATGTACTGTACTATAGTAGGATTTTATGTATCTCATACGCTGTGATATGTGGATGGGGCCCCAGATGGAAGGTTTGAAACTGGATTCTCGATTTTTCGGAAAAAAAAAAAGGCACATAGTTTAAAAAGTTTCTCATTTTGTGCAATATAATCTAAATAAAGTACAGACCATCTGCATATTTTGTAGCAAATGGTGGCAAAGCAGACTCATGCACTGTCAACATCATTGCCTTTTTTTTTTTTTCTTTCAATTTTTTGTGTGTGTGCTGGAAGTCTGTATCTTGACAATTTTAATAAATCAGCTGGAACTGATAGAAACTCGCACGGCCAGTAGTCTCTATGGAAGCCTAACTGGAGGTCCTGTTGTCGAAGCGCATTCGGTGGCGAGGCTGTAGTGTGCGCCGATGCAGAGGGGGCGGAAGAGAATTACACATTTAGAAGGGGTAAGGCTTAAAAGTGCTCAATTGGCTAGCCGAGTAATATCCGGATTTCTCTTCCTCTTCCTCCGGCTAGTTATTAAAGGCCAAGGAGAAGTATTCTTTCTCTCTGCCTCCCTTTGCCGCCACCCCCCCCCCCCCCCTTCCTTTTACCCTCCCACCCTGGCAGGCGGCACTAAGAGAGGCTCGGGAAGATGGCCGGGGGGAGGGGTGGACATTTGGAGAAGACAGGATTTCAGGCTCGCTGGGGCAGTTTTCTGCTCTAGATGATGTGCGTATTCTCCGCTGGGCTGGGCTGGGCTACCGATCGGACGGTTGGCCGGCAGAGTCCTGGGCTGCGTGTTGCGAATTACACCCACCCGCGGCGGAATGTGCGCTCGGGGCGCTCTGATTCCTGGTCTTAGGCAGCCGTTTCCTTCAGAGGGTGGGGACAGCTGTTTTTCGTTTTGAATTTTTTTTTTAAATTTTCGCTCCATCTCCTTGTATGAGAAGAGGTAAACGCTGGTGGGAAGCGCAAACGCAGTTTCTTGACCTCTAGCGGGTGATGGGGGGAAAAGGGGGGATTTTTTTGGTGTCTGTTTCTTTCGCGTTTCCCAAGGTCGAGAGTGACCGGAGGAAAAACGCGCGCGGGGAACAGTTGGTGAGCTCAGCATCTACATGAAGGGATGGAGTAAGGTTCCTGGCCCGCGGGAGTGCAGAAGGGTGTGCGGTGGCGGCCCAGGCTCACGGTCTTGGCTGGCGCAGAGCTGCCGAGCCGAGCAGGGAGGGAAAGCTAAGGGAGGAGATGATAGACCGATAGTAGCCAGGAGAAACGTGGAGTGATTACTGTACGATTACAGCTGCCGGCCATCAGGGTGTCCATTCGGGCCAAGTCGTGAGGACGTCCTGGGATGGGGAAAGGGACCTGGCGCGAGAGAAAGGCGGGCGCGCGCTCAGGATCGACCCTGGGGCTGCAGGCTGCGCGGGAGCCTGGGCGGAGACCTGGTGCGCCTAGAGGGAAGGGCCGGGGTGTCTTAGCTTTCGCCAGCTTCTCACCGTCGCCTCTACATCCCCACGCTCCTTTGCCTGGTTCTCATTTTCAAAAATGCATGGGGGACGAGTTTCCGATGGCAGTCGCGTCGGGTCGCCTTTTGCTCCTTGACCCACCTGGCATAGTCTGTCCCCCTGGAGGCGAGCTAGGAGGCAAAACGGCTGTTGCTTCCGGGGCCTGCGAGGTTAGGAGGTGGAGTGGGCAAGGGGAGACGCCCGGCAGTGGAGCAGAAACTTACAAAATAGGGCGAAGAGGTACTCTCTCCCACCTACCCGCTTTGGGCCTCTTGCTGGAGAAGGGCGCCCGGGATCCTCACCCCGCCCCCGTCTCTCCCAGCGCTGCTCTCCTGGCGGCTCCCGGGGAACCTGCCTCCCAGGCCTTTCCGCCTTGGGGGAAGACTGGCTCCGCTTTTTCTTTTTTTTCCCTCTTCCAACTGCCTTGTTCCTTGCTCGGGCCGCAGAGGGCGATGGCAGCGGCGCCAGCGCTGAACGTTTTCTTTACACGCGCGCCACCCTGTCCCGCGCGCCATCTCCCTGTTCGCTGGGGACCTTTTGCTGTGCCATTAATCCCCCCGCTTTTTTTTTTTTAGCCGCAGCCTGTCGCTGAACCCTTACAGCAGGCCCTGGGTAGCAAGCTGGGCTGGGGACGCGCGCCACTGGCTCCTGCCCCTCCCTCCTTGCTTCACCGCCTCTTTTTTCTGGGGGCAGCGCCAAGGGACGGAGGGAGGTGGCTCAGCCTGACAGTTACGGCGCTAAACCTCCCCGAGCTGCGGGGATTGGAATGGGGGCGATTTTCATTGGCTAATTGAAACAGTGCAAAATCGCCATGTCTTTTTGTAACCTACCATAATGATTTAACAACATTTCGCCTTCCAGTTTTCTGAGATTTGTCGAGACTAAATGGAAGTGTCCACACTACGAGGAGCTGTTAGGCCAAAGGGGCCCCTTCGCCCTTCCTTCCTCCTCCTCCCATTTTCCTTTGCTTCTCCCGCCCCGGACCGAGCTCCCGCTCTGGGCGAGCCTCCGTCCCAGCCCCCAACCCTGGGATGCAAAGCGAGCAAGCTTTTGCTACAGATGGACCGATTTCTTTTTTGGTAGCTTTTCCTCTCAATGAGCCATCAGATTTCAGTAGTACACTTGGGAAAAGAAAAGGCTGATGGTGTTAACAAGATTCTCAATATAGAACTGGATTTCTGGAGTTGTTTACCTTTTTTTTGTTGTTGTTCCCTCCAAATGATACACTGATGGAGTCATTGGTCGGACATTTCTTTTAGCCACGAATAAATGAACCAGCGGTTTACAATTGACAATTCTCTGTGCTGGTGATTTTACGTGGTGGCCCTCTGCTGCAGTTCTAAAACTTGTTGAAAATACAAACCCTATATCCAAATTTGTGAGGCTAATTCTATGTATTTTGAAAATTCGAAAACCTTGCATGTATTATGTTTAAAGCTTAGATGAATCTTGGACATTTTCTGTGGTGAGGTAGAAACTTTAAGTTGAATAAATGAGTAACATGTAATAATTTGGTCTCATAATGGAAAGATAGAGTCATGATTTAAAATTTAAAAAAAAAAAAAAAAAAAAACTATTTAGCCTAACTTCTTGGTAGTAAAATAAGAGAAAACTAGTTGGTTGGCCATCTGAATTAAAAACGTGCTGGAACTCAGGACAGGCGCTTGAATGAGCCTTTAACAATATTTAAGGCTGTTTTGATGAATGCATTGTGAAAATCATTCTTAATGAATTCTTTATTGAATGTCTGAAAGATTATAAAATACACAAGGTATTCTTGCCACTGGATAGTCCTCAATAAAAGATTACTTGCATTTTTTTTTTTTTTTTCCTTTTGGTCTCTTAAGTAAGTCTTTTTTTAAGCATTGACAGAACATCTTGAAATGGTAATGTGGGATGGGGTGATAGGCCGGTGGGTATCCTGCTGTTTATAACTAGTTCGCAGACTGTAATGATGGCATTTTGATACGATTTCCATCTTAAAAAACTTGAACCAGCATTCTCTTATTAATTCTTTAAACTGTGGAAATAATCTTCCAGTTCTTACACTCTGATATGCATCCCCTTTTATTAAAAAAAAATAATAATAATAACGCTAATGAAAGGCAGTGTACTTAAACTGTGCTTTGCGAATATTATGTGTGTTATGAATGACTACAGTCTCAGAGCAAATTATTTGTAGAATGATTATCCTTTAGCTAGGAAAAGAAAGTCATGACCACCCTTTTGGGCTGAGATGTTTCTTTTTAATGTTAATCAAGGGGAAGTGATTTAAATATGCATTCTTATGGCAGAGTCAGGAAGATTTAGTTGTTTTTCCATGAAAGAAAAAGACTGTAAAAAGGCACGACTTGTTTTTTGCTTACTTGGGAGTTGAAAGCCTAATTATTTGACATTTGGTAGAGTACAAGAAAGGCAGATTTGTTTTTCACTTCAGAATTTAAATGATTTTGTTGCCCAAGGAATCTGAGAAATAAAGCAAATAAGTTGCTCTATTTTGAAGTAGTCATTCAATATAAATATATTATATCAAT